TTTTTTTTTTATTATACTAATGAAATTGTTGTTATGAGTTTCCTTCGTTGAGTTAATAATGATAAAGGAATAATTAGGTATTAAAAACTTATTCATATTTGGTTTCACTTCACCAGGCATATTTCTTTGGAATTTTTAAGCTGTAGCAGCTTGCAACTGTGTGTCTTTCTCTGCATAATGCTATTTGAAATAACGTTTGCATATAATTTTTCAGGAACGTGCCGTTTCGTGTTAGAGTGCGGCTTGCTAGACGGCGAAATGAGGATGAAGATTCGCCACACAAACTCTACACATTAGTTTCTTATGTGCAAGTTAATTCGTTTAAGGGGCTGACTACCATAAATGTGGATAATTATGAGTAAACGTCGTTCTTGTTAAAATGTTATTTTGTTGTTATTTACGTTCAGAATATGGATAAATGGCTCTGTGTTACTGGTTATGCTAGCAAGTTGACCTAAAAGTTGTCATTTTTAGTTAATTTTTTTTTTTTTTTTTTGAGTTAATGTTTTTCATTTGTCCTGAGCAAACAAGGTTAGACAACGTCAGTGGATAGTTCTTGCGGGAACAAGTCACTAGTCTATGGTATCGGCTGCTGTGTAGTAGTGTTTGCTGTTTATGTTAAATGTCGTTTACTATTACAATTTGAAGCAGCCACAGCGGAATTTAAAAATATGATTGATCTGTACATGCATTTTGAATTGTGGCATGGTAATTAAATAATTGGTAACTTGGAATAAGAAGAATTATCTCTTTCACCTGAAGGACTTTCGTCTTGGTAGGATGTCGAGTCATTTTCTGGGTTGCACTGCTACGTTAGATGATGGATTGTGAGTGCAGTGGTCAACGTTTAGCTATGAGTTTTTCTGGTGTCGGAGGCTTCTAGCTTTAAGTCGCGGCTGATTTAGGAAGGAAGGTGTTTCTGACTTGTTGGTTTCATTTCATGAGGTTTCCTGCTTAGGTGTAAGTTTCAGGGGGAGAAGGTATGGAGTTTATTTTTTCCATAGAGTGATGTGTGCAGTGAATGGGGCAATTTCTTTTTTTACAGCAGCAGCAGCTACAAGAGGCGTTGGGTCTTCTTTGGTTGCCCGGCTGCGAATAAGATTTTGTAAGCTTAAGGCTGTGACAGGGTCGCACGTGTGTGTTGCAAACTATAGTTCCTGTGCAGGATTTATGTTTCCAGTTTAAGTAATACAGAAACTTTGTGAGATAAATTGATCTGTTAAGGGTCAGGCGTAATTTTAGGGTTTTTTGAGTAAGATGCATTCGTTGCAGAATTTATTGATTAAACAGGCGAAATAAAGAGTTGACAAGATGACTGTCCCAACAATAGCTTTGTGTTCCATTTTCACACTAAGTATTTCCATATGCCCGAAGTTTTGTACAAAAACTTTAACTTCAATATGACTTCTCTTCAAAGTTGGACATCGATTAGAACTTTACAGTTGATATTTTGCTGTTTTCGACTTATCAGTGTGCCGTCTTGCAGTTGTTAAGATGCTGCAGGAAAAATTTGTTCAAGTGAGCGATAGTTTTCAGCATTGTGTAAATTATTTTTGCAGAGTTCCCTGTCCTATGCGTAATTATTTCCTTCAATTATGAGTTTGTTTTCGTTGGATTTTACCAGTCGGTTGAATGATAGGGAGGAACTGTTTAAGTTGCTGGATTTTGAAAATAATTAGATAGTCGGTAAAATAATTTGAAAAATTAGCATTAATAATTTAGTACAGATAAAGGACAGGCAGATCTGCAAAACTTGTAACTTTAATTTAATGTGGAAGTGCATGTATATTCTGTTGTTGATTTCTGACACCTTTTATTGATGAGAGTTTGTAGTTTGAATTGGCGACCGCTGATGCTTACAGTTTTCTTATTGTGAGCCTTTTATTAAATATTTGTTGATACTTGCTTTAGAGGTAGCTTCATACTAATTTCTAATGTGTATCGGTACCAAAAGCATTACGTTGAATAAAAGTTTGTGCTCTGGTTTTTAAACCTGTATTTGTGTTATTTCAGTCGATCCGCTAATGTATTTGATTGTGGGAGTCTCCATTTTTGCTGCACTGGTAATCTGGTTTTTGAAATGTTTGGGTGTCCCACTGGGAAGTTTAGGAACATCGGTGTGCAACATCATAAAGAAAAAAGAAAATCATTTCCTCTCCAATTTATTCCAGGTAAGTATTTCTGGTGTATTTGATAAATACCGGCAGTTTTTAAAAGCGTATATTTGTGAAATCTAACAGCAAATTAAGAAGAGAGTAAATTTTTGTTGAGATGGTGTACGAGCTGATTTCTGGTGTATCTGTCATGCTGCAAGGTAAATGGTGGAAAAAACAGACTGGTTCCTTTTATTCCTATATCTGGAATTTGCACTGAAAAAGAATATCATATCGGATAGCATTTTAGGTTGAAGAAAAGTCTAAGCATTATGGCGGTGAGTTGGTTGCTGCAGTCCTCAAGGTACAATTTCTTTTGTTCTATCTTATGTGAACTTGTTTGTATGTTTTTGCGGTTTTACTTAGTCAAATGCAATCACATTTGCTGCTTAATAGAATAATCGCATAAATAAGCCAGTATAATGTAAGTCGCATTCCGCTAGTTTACTAAAATAGTTAAACGTTTATTTCAGTTTAAAAGGTTGGGGACTTTTGTGATGGTGTACACAAACACTTTGAATTTTGTGCTGGTTTTTCTGTAAGTCACTGATTTTTACTAACGAAAGATGCTAACTTGATGTTATAAGAGATTATTGTTGCTAATGATTGTCAAAACTTTTAGCTATTTTGGGCACTGTTTCGCAAAGGTTCCTTAAGTTAAAACCCTTGTCTTTTTTAACTAGTATGATGCATTTGCGGCTTTCGATAATTATCATAGTTATTTCCTGGGTAAGCTTTGTAACCTATCTTTCATGGGCAGCATTAAAACAGTATTCAGGTAACAGTCATGAGCGTAAAAATAGATGAGGATAATTTTAGATTTAAGGCGCCTAGTTTACGATTTGTTAGTAGTTCTATAAACGAAACCAAAATGATAAGTAAGAAGCCACTTTTTTGTCGAATTGGTGAGGTAGTTAGGTGCTAGTATAATAATAAAAGTTGTAGGCTGAAATAATTAAAGAGCAAGTAAACAAACAGCAAGCAGTTGTGTGTATTCTAAAAATGAAGTCAAATAAAAAATTTGGTTAAGAGTATCAGTGGCGACGAAGATTCAAATTTGATGTAAATTCTAAGTGTATCAGTTAAAGCTACAGGCTCACATGTTAATTTTTTTCGTCTTATCATTTTCTACTTTTTTATGCTTATCTCATAACTATTAAGCTAAGATTAATTCAGTGGTGAGGTTGTAAGCACTTTTTAAAATGCCCTCAATTTGAGGCACATAAAGTGCAAGAAATTTTCGCTCTTTGCGGCGGTCACATATCCGGAATTTTGGTTGCTGCCGAGAAGCTTGGAATTCAGGTTATTGATACGAGGCATGAGGCAACAGCGGTTTTTGCTGCCGACGCTGTTGCAAGACTTCGGCAGGATATCGGTGTTGCTGCTGTTACAGCTGGACCGGGTTTGCTTAAGTTTCTAGATTATTTAGACAATCGCTAATTTGCCTTCAATGATACTGTTTTTTAATATTTTTCATATGATTTATCGACAAATTTTCCTTACAGTTTTTGCTTAAGGTGTAACAAACACTATAACAGCAGTCAAAAACGCTCAAATGGCCGAAATTCCAGTGGTATTACTTGGAGGAGCTGCTCCAATTTTGCTAAAAAACCGTGGGGCTTTGCAGGTAATCGTTTTTACCATTGAGT